CATGAAGATTTGCCAACTGGCTGATCAAGAGGGCAGACACAAGAAAGGTGTTCATAGCGTTGTTCGGGAGGCAGACACACTCTGTCAGTTTAAATCTAGATTAAAGACCCATCTCTTTAACCTGGCATAACGCTCTTTGATGTGGCGTAACAGACCGCTGCAAGCGGAAGCACGGAGAGCGATCCCAGTCAGCAAATTTCCTTTGGCGTGGATCTGGCCCATATCAACAGCTAAAGTGTGGCCCAGATTAGGTTGTGTTCGCCGGCCCAAAACATCTTTTTAGCCAGAACTGAACCAAAACAGTGCCATAACCCAACCCAGAGTGAGCCAAATATCATCATCCCTGTTGTTAATTGCAGCCTTTAATATTTTAGTAATGTGCTCTAATAAGGCTCCCTATTGTATATCATTAGCTAAGAAAGATTTTTTATCCTTAAGAAAATTGTAATCATTTAAAGGCAGGGCCATAAATTGTTCAGTTAAACACGGTTTATTAAAAAAATTTATGTTTTCTTCAAAACTGAGGTACAATTACACTACTAATGTTTTCATTAATATTATGCATATTATTAAGTATTATGTCTAAAAAATTAAAGTTATTAAAGTAGCTAAAAATGTCCTAATTTAAAAAGGGCTACACAGTAACACTCATGTCTTGGGTGGTAGAAAAGAATGTGCAGTGCTGATTTACAGTCAATTATGTGCTTGTCTTGAAATAATATCTAATGTATGATACTAATTATGATATACTAATGTTCTTTTTTTCTCTTCTTTTTCCTGACAGACTGTGAGTGAGAAAGACTGGCAAGACTTACTAAAAGTATAAATTTTTGCACATTTATTCACGTTCTGTATTGTAATTCAGTTATTCAAATTCTACTATAAACATTTTAAAAAATGAGTGTGAATCCATTTTTGTGTTTAAGATTTACTGTGTAATGGCTATTTTAAATAAAAAAAATATATAGGTGTGGTGTAAATATGGTTAAATAATGGCATTTGGTTTATCAGCCACATGTGGGCCACATAAGGGCCGTCAGCCCTTTACAGAACTCCGCCATATAAGAATACCATATAAAGTCCATATATCAGCCACATCTGTTTTTATTATTTGGCTCACTCTGGGTTGGGTTATGGTACTGTTTAGATTCAGTTCTGGCTAAAAAGATGTGGACCAGTTTTGGGCCGGCGAACACAAACTAATCTGGGCCACACTTTAGCTGTTGATATGGGCCAGATCCGCACCAAAGGAAATTTGCTGACTGGTGATCGGTTCTGCGCAGATTTTGCTCATCTCAAACAAGCCTATTAACTTGGACAATCAGTGTGTTGATACGGTCAAATTTCACACGTTAAAGCGTTTTGGCCCCGTCCGACTTCCATACATTGGGACAACGCTCGTCGCGCCACTGTGACGTATTTGGTCTTCGAATACAGCCTTCCAAGGATGCAGTCTCTGAATTGGGACACAGCTGTCCCTTTAAAACTTAAGTAAAGGGAACGATTTTTTGTGCAGAAAAGTGATTGGACCTATTTACCAGAAACCCGCCTGCATCTAGGTAGACATGGCGGATATACGAACACGTCCCTGTGTGAGTTCCACTGAGAATAACGCAAAAGATAATATTTCCCGAGAAGGCGGCACTGGCACATCTGCATTATTTGTTAAGTTATTTGCTGCAGCTTTTTATGGGCTCTCGTCTTTCCTTATTGTTGTCGTTAACAAGAGTGTTCTTACTAATTACAGGTAATCGCATTAATATCACCAAATTCTTTTATGTTAGCTCATTCATATTCAGTAGGTGCTTTTATTACTAGATGTTGAGTATAGATCTGACCACTTAAACTCTTATAGTGTCTATTTACTCTTACTCACCTTTGCTATGACTTTAACTGGTCAAATAGCTGTCAGCACATGTGCAAACACGTGAATAAAGGTCTTACTCCTAATGTAATCTCTCCCGTATTATTATTTTGAATCTTTTAAACATATATATTAGTTGCATAGATTATATAGACACTCATACGTTGAATTCATCATTATCATCATCATCATCATCATCATTATTATTATTATTAATCGTTTTGTTTAAATGGGCGCTATAGCCTACATACCATTAATATGTTTATTCTTTTATGCACTTAATAAACTGTTTCCCCTCAGATTCCCGTCCTCTTTTGCAGTGGGAATTGGACAAGTAAGAAAGTTATTGTTTTTTTTTTTTTGTTTTTTTTTGCTAGTTCTCCAGTGTCTTAACTGTGAATCTCATGAATCCTAGACCATTAAGATTTTTTTGCATTGACATTTTCATAAACACGTAATATTGTTAGCAAAAATGTCTTAATTTTGTTTTTTATTTTGGGGAGAATATATATCCGCTTATTACAGCCACTTTCCATATAAAAAAATGAAGATTAAATATCGATCTGAGTTGAAATTATTTAATTATTTTAAAGCTTCTGCAAAGGTAATCAGAACATTATCCATAGCTATGTAATATGTTTTGTTTCTTTTTTTAATATATATATATAGATATATATATATAGATAGATATAGATATAGATATATATAGGTTTCATATATAGCTTTCAGGTCATAATATAGCTAATAAAGCACATAGCTTTCACAATCCCTTAGATTTATTTGCATATAGGCCTATGGGTTTGGACGAAATAATGTGAACGGCCATTATTATAGACTAGAGGCTACATTGCGGTGTTTTTTATATATATGTATATATATATATATACACACACACACACACACACACACACACAAGTCAGACTTCCAAAAATGTATGCAAATCGTGAAAGCCTGTTTAGCAGGAGTGGCTATAATATTAACAGCCCAATTGTTTGGTGTTTCAGTCTTTATGATTATGACTGCATACAGAAAGCATGGCAAGACTTCATCAGTGAGTACGAATAGTGGGCGAAAACCAAAAGTGAATGATAATGACTGTTGAACACTAAGAAGGATTGTGTCCAAACAACACAGAACTACTGCAGCAAGGTCACAGCAAACCTCACTATTAACTTTGAAAACCCTGTTTCCTCAGAAACCGACAATAGAGAACTTCACAAAGCCAAAATCCATGAAAAACTGATAAAACTAATCACGGACCCCAATGTGAAACAAGATGATGTCATTTTCATTTAACTTATATATTTTTAGCACAAAGATCATGTGCCCTAACACTTCAACATGTGCCCTAGCTAGCTTAATCCCTTTTTATTCAACTTGAATATTTACTAACCACTGTGGACAGTTTTGGAGGGAAAAGTAAGAAGCAGCTTCCCTCCTTCAACATCTCTGAAGTAACTGGCAGATGTTCTGTTGGACGACATTCCACTGTAGACTATTCAAAAGTTGTATGAATCTATACTAAGAAGGTTGGAAGCTGTATTAAATGCAAATGGTATTAAAACACTTTATTGCCTATTTCCCAGGTGTTTACATTATTTTGTCCAACCCCTAAACATACAGAATGTATGTTTGGAGTTTTAAAGAATGTGGTATCAAGCATTTTCTTAATTAAACAGATATTTTACATGCTGTACATTCAGCTCTAGGATTTCAGCAGCTGATGAAGGATCATTATGTTGTTTTCAGATGTTTGCAACAGTTGTTGTGCTGCGAGGAGCAAAATCATTAAATGTGGTAGATTTCCCAGATTTTGATAGGCATGTACCTCATAAGGTAGGTCTGTGCACATTCTAGGCTGAACTATACTTCAGTTTTCAAGTATACGCACTGTAGGTTCAGTATTCTCAATATTTACTGCGTAGGTATGGCCACTCCCTTTAATGTATGTGGGAAATCAGTTAACAGGTCTGTTTGGAACAAAACAACTAAAGTAAGTGTGTAATATGCTGAATAATTTTTATTTTTATTTTTTGTAAACTTTAATGCATGGCTGTTGTTGTTATATAATGAATGTACAATAATATAACATGCTGTATAAACTCTTTTGCAGTCTTCCAATGTTTACTGTGCTCAGAAGATTCTCCATTTTATTCACAATGCTGTTTGAGGGTTACCTCCTAAAGTATGTCTAGTGTACTCAGTGTTTACAGCTGACTCAGTTTGGGGTTTATGAGATGTGAAACTTATGATTTTGTTGTTTTGTAGAAAGGAGTTTTCATGGTCCATAAAGGCAACCATATTCACCATGATCCTGGGAGCTTTTATTGCTGCAAGGTAAGCTTCAAAATTTCCATTCCTTTTTAAGTTTTAATTCCTAGGCCTCACAGAAAGGTAATTGTATTTTCTGGTAATTGTAATTCTGCAGTGTTTTATAAGGCCTAGCCAGCTTGTTACTTCATAACGTCGTACTAATATTGTATTTAAGCTTATGATTATGTTGTCTCGTCAGACCTTCAGACTATTCAGACTTGTTGCTATATGTTTTCTAACTGATCGGACTTAAGGTTTTCCTAAAAAAAAAAAAAAAAGGAAAGAAAGAAAAAAAGATCAAAACTCCCCCCAAAATCCCGTAGAAATCCTGAAAAAATGTGTGAGTTTGGTTATAGAATGCGGTTGTCACTCCTGACCGTCACACAAATACCCGTACTGTGTGTGTATGTAACCTTATTAAGGACTCAAATACAGGACTGACTGCTGTATTCTGCTGCTGTGTGAACGTGGCCTTAGACAGGTTGTGAAGACCCTGTTTTGTTTTCGGACTGTTGAATATAACTTTTAAAAAGGTCCAGTACAAACATTACATGAATGGCAGCTGTCACAGTTGCTAGTCAATAAGAGCAATTCTCTGTAGGCTAGACCATCCCATTTTACAACGCTTAGTCCGACCTTTGCGGTGTGGCCTTTGTAGTCTGCATCCTTCAAAGGGTATATAATTATCTGAAACATGCAAGCTACATACTAAAACATTCTAGCAACATGTTAACAATTTGCTAAAACACATTAACCAAGTGCTAAACACGTTAGAAATATGTTAAACCTATTAGCAACATGCTAACAATGTGCTGAAACATGCTACCATGCTACCAACAAAATAGGGCTGTCAGTCGATTAAAATTTTAATCTAATTAATTACATGGTGCGGCGATTAATTAACCTAATTAATCTCAAACTAAATTTGGCTGTGAAAATACCCACAAAAGATTATTTAAATATATTATTGTGTTAAATGAGAAAGTAGACATTACAAATAGTAGTTTTAGAAAAGAATCTTTAACTTGACTCAACATAAAATTTATCACACATAAATGTTTAGGCTACAATGGCCTAACATAAACGATGGAACATAAAAGAAGATAATTTGAGAAACTTCTCTTTATTTTTTGTTCATGCAATGAAAGTCACTGGTAACCAAAACAGCTTCGTTATAAACATATCTCTTGGTCGTCAAAAATACCTTCTTTTATGTTGCACAATAGAAAGTAAGTAATTCAAGTTTGAAACGACATGAGGGTGAGTAAATGATGACATAATTTTTTTTTTTTTTTGGTGAACTATCCCTTTAATGTTTATTTATTTATTTATTTTAAATGAGAAACTAAAACTGCCAGCAGGTGGCGGTAAATGTGTCTATGAGTCATGCATTCATTTGATTTGTTCAAATTGCTGATTGATTTAGGAAGGACTCATCCCTATGCCCTAATCCAGTGGTTCTCAACCTTTTTTTCAACTGGGCTGCACTATGGTCCAAGTGCAAGTCTCACGGGCCGCACGCATATCATTTACATATTATGTCACAATACAAACCAACCAGATTTATAATAGCCTATTATAGCCTAAATATTATGATATCTAATCGATTACATTCATTGAAATAAATAAATAAATAATTATACTCACCATTAATAAAACACCTGATGCTGTCGGGAGCGGACCAATTTTGTGAAATTCAGCTCGAAAAGGAGTAAAACAGCAAAATGAAATTGCGATTGTAAATTGCAGTCTGTAAGACGCGCACGGAAGCGCACTTGACGCGCGACATTGCAGAAAATGTGCGTTCACAAATGTAGCCTATGTTGATCCAAATATGGAAAGCACTTTCGAATTTAATAATCTGAGGTTCTCTCCAGAGATGTTTTGCTACTTTTCTGCAATTAAGGATGATTGCTGCATAGTATGGGTGTTTCCTTTTGCCTGACCTAGAGCCCTGCATTTCAGGCTTGTTTACGCCCCTAGGGCCGGGCTTCGGGACAATTTTCACTTCATAGTTCAGACGCGGGCCGGGCATCGGGCTTGTTTTAGGCTTCTCCTTATTTTTATATTTTAGACATCCAT